TGGCCCCCCCGCCCCCGCAGCAGCCGCCGCAGTCTCCGGCGACTGCGGCGGCGGTTGCGGCGTTCGGGCTGAGGTTGGGTGGTCTGGAGGGCTTGCTCGGAGCGTACGGAATAAGGTACTACACGGCGGCGAAGATAGCGGAGCTAGGGTTTACTGCGAGCACTCTCGTGGGCATGAAGGAGGAGGAGCTCGACGACATGATGAACAGCCTCTGCCATATTTTCCGGTGGGAGCTTCTCGTCGGAGAACGATACGGCATCAAAGCCGCCATCAGAGCTGAGCGGCGGCGCTTGCAGGAGGAGGAAGACGACGCCTCCAGGCGCCGACACTTCTTCCTTTCCTCCACTGCCGCCCCCGCCGGAGACTCCGGCACTCACCCCCATGATGCACTCTCTCAGGAAGGTAAACCTATACTATTTCTCTAATGGATTTGTGTGTATATATTAATATATATATACACATTTATAGACAATAAGTTGCAGAATACTTGTGCTTATGCACAAACGTACAAGTGAACACAAAAAAAACATAAAGATTTACTACACGATAAATGTAATGATTATCTTTATATTTTCATGCATGTGTATTCTTTTTAACCCTTGTACCAAACTATGATTTTCTTGCATTCGTATTCACTTTGCATCTACACGTAATAATATCATGCGTATACAGTAACGTATTTATCCCTATATGTAATAATGTGAAAATCTTCAAGCACATGCACTTGTGTTCGTATATATAGTACATATACACGGGAAAAACGTGCACGTTCATGACTGTGTTAACGAGTAATCAAGATTCAAGATGATGAAATGCCCAGGGCTATCAGAAGAGCCTGTGCAACAAGAGAAGGATCCGGCGGTAAACGGCGGAGGGGCAGCGTCGTCGGCGTCGAGGAAGAAGCAGCAGAGGCGGAGGAAGAAGCCGGAGGAAGCGGGGGCGGAGGAAGACGCCGGAGATGACGACGTGGATGACGTGGGCACGGAGAGACAGAGGGAGCATCCGTTCATCGTGACGGAGCCAGGGGAAGTGGCACGTGGCAAAAAGAATGGCCTTGATTACCTCTTCCACTTGTACGAACAATGCCGTGAGTTCCTCCTCCAAGTCCAGTCTCTTGCCAAAGACCGTGGCGAGAAATGCCCTTCCAAGGTAACCCCCCCCCCACGATCAACTATATATATATATATATATATATATATATATAATTTAAATCAAATATGGGATTCAACTCGTATAAATAAAAATTAGGAATATATATAGGACTATATATATATACTGTCGGAATCGATGGGGTAAAGTGGGGAAATGTATAGAGAGAATCATATCCAGCTGTTGTAATGAAGCTTTGACAAGTTACAACACCAGGGGGGGGGGGGGTTTGTACTCTTTTCTTTTCCACGAAATAATTATAAGTTGGATTTAATTTAAATCTCCGACAGTCGCAGTACGATGACGTGTCGAGTTTCGGAGAGACAGCGCTTGTGCTGTGGTGGCTAATAACGACACCATACACATATATACATATGCATGTGTGTGATGTGTCTGCATCGTTTTCATCTTCTTTCCACATGCAAATACATATATACATATATATATTACATAGATACGCTTTATGTAAATAAGTATAGAGAGTCGAGTGTCTGTGTATATGCATTTATATTTGTTCACGTATGTATATATATACGCACACACGTCTATGGAGACAGCCTATTGTACTCCGGGTAATAAGGGGCTTCCTTTCACTTTAATAGTACAGAATCCATGAGCTCTGTGCCATTGCTTGTGCAGGCACACGATTAATACTTATCTTCAGTAAAAAAAAAAGAAAGAGAAATATAAATATGATTATTATTTACTGTAAAAAATCATTCACAAAACTGTAAATGGATTGGTAACTTGTTCACGTTGTTGTTTTTTTAATAATAATATAATTATAACTAATTGAGATTTATATGTTGTGCATGTAGGTGACGAACCAAGTGTTCAGATACGCGAAGAAATCGGGAGCCAGTTACATAAACAAGCCCAAGATGCGCCACTACGTCCACTGCTACGCCCTCCACTGTCTGGACGAGGAAGCCTCAAACGCCCTCCGACGCGCTTTCAAAGAACGCGGCGAGAACGTGGGCGCTTGGCGTCAGGCGTGTTACAAACCGCTCGTCGCGATCGCAGGACGCCGCGGTTGGGACATCGACGCCGTCTTCAACGCCCACCCTCGCCTCTCCATCTGGTACGTCCCCACCAAGCTCCGACAGCTATGCCACGCCGAACGCAGCAACGCAGTCGCTGCCGCTGCGTTTGGCGGTTGCGGGAGCGGTGGGAGTTCCGCGTCTGGCCACAGCGAACAGTTGCGTTACTAGTTGACGACGTTGCTGGGTTGTTTGTTTTGTTGCTTAAATCTTATGTATCGGAAGATATGCCACGATGTGCTGTCGCTTTTGACTGATTAATTAATTATACGTGCAAATTATGGTTTTCTAATGCAAAATTTTATGTTTAGTGTGAAAAAGTAATAAAAATTGTCTAAATCATTCTATAAATATTGGCAAAAGATTAAGAAAAGTCTCTGGTTATATTATCGCTCAGCCCGAACCGGAAAATTTGTTTAAACCGGTCTCGGTTAATTCTTAATGGGCTCGGTAAGCCCGGGACTTTAATATGGGCCGTGTGTATATATATGTTTTTGCCACCTGGGCCGTGTATGTCTAGATTTACGGGAGGAAAACAAATTCAAAGAATTCCATTTTCAATTTCAATTTTCAAACAACTAAACGAGATTCCAAAGCGAGATCATGGAGTTCCCGCCAAAAATGTTGTACCCACGGACATTCCAGACCTCTCCAGCACGACTCCCGGAGGAGGAAGTTGAGGCGGCTGAGAATACGGCGGTGGTTCTTCGGGACAAGCTCACCGCGTTGGCCTGTCGCCACGAGCAAGTTAAGATCGCGTACTATCAGCTTCACTCGCATATCAAAATCGGTCTGGTCGAGGTAAAATCCATCGCTCTCTTCTCTGATTTTCCAGATCCGTTTCTCGAACAGTTTCCGAGTTTGATTCAAAAAATTTTCGTGAGATGAATCGAGTTTGATACAGAGAGTGAGTATCTAATTCTGAAGGCAGAGGAAGTTTTCGCATCTCTGGCGATCCCGTTGATGAAGCTTGTCGGTTTGAAGACAACGGAAATGGTGACCGAGGGGAGATTCGCCGCTGTCTTCCTCGATGCCGATATCTGTCCCGTAAATTTAACATTCTCCTTCATGTGAATAGATGAATAATCGATTTGCTGAGTCGAATTTTCCAGTTGATACTGCCTTTTTTTCTTATGAAAAAACAGGAAAGGGATCAGATGGATGCCATCCGATCTGCTCGAAGGATTACGCAAAACGGATTTCGAATCGGAGATACGAAGAATCAGATCCATAGTTCAAAGGTGAGATACATAAAATGAATTTAGAACAGAAAAAAACTTTAACGTGTTATCTAAGTGAGGATTCTGGCCATTCTCGTCTCTGTAGGTCTAATTCTGCCTGTGATGAATGCGGACCAACTGATGTGATTCTGTTCTTTTGGGTGATTTCTCAAATACGAGTGCATTCACAACTCGTTTTGATGTACTTGTGTCTGTAAGTCTAGATTCCATCAATGGTGTCACAATACAAATCATAAGCGCCTAGTTGTGAATTTAGTTCTGGAGTAGGACAATAATGTTGTCTGGTCTGTGTGGAGCTTCCCTCTGAAATTTCCTTTGCCATAGATCCAAGCTGCAATATGCTTGGAAATTGGAGGAAATCGGAGAATTAGAGAAAGAGATGGATAGAATTTTCTGTTACTGGTTATTTCAGCCTCATTTCTTATCATGGAAGATCAGATCTTTTATCTCACTAACTAATCCTCTAACAAATCAAGATTGACAAACTGACAGCACATTTAACACACCATTTTCTGATTCTGTAGGAAGAAAATTATGCTGCCAAAGTTGAAATAGCTGGCAGAGAGATTTTGGACAAGCAGCAGAGGCAACTGATACAGCTTGTCCAGATCCTAAGGCACTTTGAAAGACAAGCCATTTCCCACCAGGAAAACATTCTGCAGATGATTGACCATCATCGAATCTTCTGCCACGAATTCATCCGGAAAGCCATCTATTACATCACCATGCTTCGCACCCAAAGTCACGATACTTTCCCCGTTACAGTCAAGTTCCTTCGAGTGATTTTCAATAACGTTATCGAGGTTCTTGGTTCAGTAGATTGTGGTGTAAAGGATCATATGCAGGCTGTAGCAGAGAAAATGTGTTATCCGTTAGCCAAGCACATAAACAACCTCACTGCTGAGATCAACCATGGTCCTTATGCGCAACTGATGAATGTAGTAAACGAGATGGAGAGAACATGGGCAGGCACAAGGCAAGAGCTGGAAGATGCTAGGGCAAGGATCAGAATGGCAGAGGAGCAAGCCAGAAGAGCGAAGGGAAGCCTCGCTTTCAAGGTAAATGATCTATAGCCTATACAGTCGAATTATCACTCCGTAGCAAATTCTAGACCTTCCAAAATGAATCAATATCTGATAATCACATGAAATCGAACCTAACATTTTGAAACGTGAAACCAAAGATTCTTCTTCCTTTTGCGTATGTAGCGTCTACGCGTGGAGGGTAGTCAAGAAAACGACGAGAAAATACTGTGGGAGCTATTGAGGAAGAAAAGAAAGATGCAAGGATCTGATAGTCCAATGGGGACCAATGATCTAATCAGACAGACCAACAACAAGCGGGTACGATCCTTCGACCATCAATCATCGAGAATGCTCGTCAGTCCTCAAACTACATGTTCCGACATTTGGATCCCTCTTGGCCTTTCACCTTCAGTGAAATCAGAAACCCTGAGGTAATCTCAAGTTCACATACTTGATCTTTTCATCATATTGGTTTAGTCAGTTCACCACCACCAGGGAAGAATCTACACATCAGTTGAGAAGACAAAATAAGGGAAAGATTGAGAAATTTCTGATGAACTGAAGGAAGATCATATGCCATATATGTCCCACGTTCTCATTGTCGGACTTTGGTTCTTAGCTTTCTAACAAACGCCTCGATTCATCAAATTTGATCCTTACTTGATAATGTAATCTATGTAGACCAATTGAAGATAAAGAAGAACTAAACCAGCCCAACATAAACCGGGCCATCTAATAGATTTGTTCAAATTTGGGTCCAGACCCAAATCAGCTCGGTAATTGCTACATACATACATACATACATACATACATACATACATACATACATACATACATACATACATACATACATACATACATACATACATACATACATACATACATACATACATACATACATACATACATACATACATACATACATACATACATACATATGCAATTGATGTAATAGATTGGGAAGTGTGAGTTTGCTTTTGGGTGGAGAAGTTTGAAATGGAAAGGGAGAGAGGGAGGGATGATGAATGAAGGCCGAAAAGGTTGAAAAGAAGAGAAGCAAATACGGGGAGGCAGGCACCGTCCCTTGCCTTTGAGGTCAAACTTGTCTGATTCTTTGTTCCAGTTTTATCGAAGAAAAGTGTCACGTCAAGACCCCGGAAACTCTCCTTTGTCGTTGTTGTTAGCATCGAAATATTCTCTTTTTCAATTTGATCTCCTGGTCTTTTCCTTGTTCACTTGCATTCAATTTCAATTCGATAACGGCAGGACACACTGTACTGGTTTCTAGTTTTTCAAACATTGACATTTTTTTTTAATTTTTAAAATTCGATTCACCTTCCTCTTTTTTTTTTACACATGTTCATATGCCACTCCCAAAACCCATCGACTGAACAGGAAGATCTATGTGATATTATCTTTATCACGGTCCTAATTATTATTGTCCCAAGTTAATTTTCTTCCAAGTAACCCTCACCCTCGTTCATTAGCTTTGAAGTAACTTACATGTTTCCTTCTTTTGCATCTTTCTCTCTCTCAAAAGAATTCTTATTATATATATAACCTCACGATAATCAATTTATTAAAGTATTAATAAATAAATAAATAAAATATACTGATTAATTAAATAATATCTATTTTCTACATAGGTGTATTAACCTGATAATGATTTCTATTGATTACCGTCGTCGAATTAACTGTGTAAAATCATAATATTTAACTAATCCATATATCTTTTACAGGTATTTTAAAAATAATTTTTCTTAATAATAACAAATTGGTGTATTTATATAAATTATATATATATATGATTCAAGATGATGAAATGCCCAGGGCTATCAGAAGAGCCTGTGCAACAAGAGAAGGATCCGGCGGTAAACGGCAAATGTGGTTTAAACTCAACAATTAGATCTTAAATCTGTAGGACGGTGTCTATAGGTATTGAAATTCAAATTTTGTTATTCATTCACATGATATTTAATATAACATATATAAAAACTGATCAAGTTGATGGGTTTGGGGGTATAAAGCTGTTTTTTTTTTAAAGCGTGTCCAAAAGTGATTTCAGTCTTTTGATTGTCAAATAATGGGGCGAATTCCGACTAAAAATTAATAGTTGAATTAAGTATTTTGAATGAGTTTTTACTATCTATCAATGGAACGTTCATCTAACGACTGAATCCCAAAATGGAGTGGTCAGAAAACAAAACCGCGTCAAAAACACTTTCAGAAATCACGAAAGTGCTCTCCACGCGAGGAGACCGCGCGTGGTTTAGACATGCGCGTCTTTACAAATAAATAAATATACTATTATTGGTACGGTTTACTGAATCATCATCGTACAAAGCATTAACACAAAAAACTACAAAGTTGAGATACTTTGGGTGTCGGTTTTTTTTTTTTTTTTTTTGTAAGGTGAATATCATATATATATGTAAGTTTTTACAAAACCTGCAAAGCAGTACAAACCGGATACAAACCGGATACCATGTCAGAAAACTAGCAGCAAAATAGTCTGAGTAGATAAACAGAAATCAGTAAAATAAGGGTCCATCGTTCTCTTTAATTCCCAATTACGTTTTGATTTTAAAATTATTTTTATATGCGTCTGTTCAGATATTTTATAATCACGTGAATGAACGTTTAATATTTATTCAAAGAAAAAAAAACGTTTGATATTTTATCCAAGCAACATTGATTTTTTTGTCCTTTTGTCTAAGAGGTAAATTAAACATTATAAAGAGTTTACGTTTTGTATAATGTACACATATTTATGTTTTTTATTTAGTTTTATTAGATAATTTACTAAAAAAATAGGTTAATTGTTATATATATATATAGCTAAACTATTTAATAAATCAATAATAGTAATAATTAGGGTGTTACCAATTATGGAGAGAGGAGAGAGGAAACCGGAGAACACGCGTTGGCCGGAAAGTGAGTAATAATTACGCATTTACAATGATCACGACCATTGTGTTAATTTCAATTATGAGAAAAAAAGGAACCAAGGGTTCGCATGAAATTCAAAACGACATGATTCATAATTCTGACATTTTTGGATTAGAGAACGTGTACATTGAATCTAATCCCATTAAATTATTCGCCCTAATCAATTCATTTCTCGTCGACACAATTTTATATATATATATATATATAAGATTTGTATTCCTCGTTTTGTTATTTTAGGCGGAAGAAGATGTGAAAAAATGTTATATTAAAAGAAACAAGAATACCTCTTAAGGATAACATTTAATAAATAAATATATTTATGCACGCGATATATATATTTATATATATATATATATATATATATATATGTATAACATCTCTTTCTCTTGGAATGTGTGTTGCATTTTTTTTATTATCCACAAGAAATACATACAAACACAAGTATAATGGGTCAAAGGGATGTGTTTTGGGTCAACCTTATGACTGATTATATATATGTGACACGTACGAATCTTTCTTTAGTCAAGCCTTTCATACTAAGCATATTGTGTGTATACACTTATGAACTATTTATATGTAGGGAATATACATATACATATATATATGCGTACATATACATTAATTGTCGATCGCACTACGTTACCCATCATTCATGTCATGATGATCCCTCGTGGACGAATTTGTATCAAACTTAACTAAACCATGCATCTATCATGTTGATAGTTTATTGGGATCAGCGTGGGAACTTTTCAAAATATGCCAAAAGACACGTGTATAGATATTTATTTATATATCCATATATAAACACATACACATATGTATTGAGATAGCTATCTAATATTCTTTTTACATATAGGCCTCGCGTGAAATCAAATTTCTAAAAAATAGTGAGAGTTTTGTCATGCAACATGATTTCAATTTGTAACAGTCAGTTTAAATTATTCAACGTCTTAATTTTTGTATGTCACGCATTAGTTCACACACACACACACATGCATGTATTTAGTTTTTTTTTGGTATAAAGCATGTATTTAGTTATATATATATATATATATTTTTATATATATACCACTTGATAACACAATGTATATGCATGTATTCATGTAAATTTTTGTTAAAAGAAAACAAGATGGTGCAAGTTTTTTTTTTTGTTGTTGTTGAACGAATTGATGTACGAATTCTCAAATTGACACAACGCAGTATTTTGTTTGACGTTCGTTTTCTGAGCGAATCCTACCCACTCGTACTTGGGAAGCGTGTGGATTGAAGTTTCTTTGCTTCTCGTATGGTTACATATTATTAATTATTATTATTATTATTATTATTATTATTATTATTAATTTGATGTTTTGTTGGTTATATGATCGTTGATGTTACGTCTTATGAAATTAACCAAAAGAACAACATGTAGAAAAATAAAATGCGGAAATTAAATTAGAAAGAAAGAACAAAATATAAAAGAACGAAAACACTTTTATTACTACATCTATTCTTCTTATTGTTATATTACAATGAAAATGAAATACATATTTATAGAAAAATTAAGAAACGTAGTAAAAAAGAAATATAGATACAATGGAAACAAATCAGTTACACAATATTCGACATAATGATATTGTATCCATTATTATTCTCCATCATATCTCAAATCTTATTTTACTTCCATCACATATTCATTTTTCCATTTTAACACAACCACTATAACATTGAATCGAATATTTAATACCACGTTCGATTCACATATTATCCTCGTACCGGAAACTTTTTATATATACACGCACATATACATATACATATATATATGCATATATGTACGGATGAAAACCTAAACAGCTCGCAAGAAGCTTCTTCAATAATGCAACACAGAAGATAAGCTTGTCTAGCACTCTTATGAAACAAATTTCAACGTATGTGACGTATGAATCCGCGCACGCACACACACACACACACACACATATATATATATAAGAAAATTAGGAATACGGAATCCGAAAGCGTGTCCGTTTAGATCGATTGTAAACCTCGATCGGTTCTACATTTGTCTTCGATATCGGGGGTCAGAAATCCAACGATTAGAGATCGAAAACCCAGTATATCACGGTCCAAATGCTCTACTGCAGAATTTCGGTGTCAATCGTATTTTCGGATCTATATGTATATATCGTTCAATCAATAACATGCCTTAGGTTTTCGTAGAGTTAGAGAATCACGAAGATAACAGTTGCGTCGCTTAATCAAAAGACATGTTCCCTCGTCATACCCTTTCACGGGTGTGCTGTATATATATATACACCGTATCTTCTAGGATTTGGGTGTATAAATCATTACAAAAACACAAAATGTATGCAATGTGCATACAAACACGCCCATATTATAAATATATATACACACACGTATTTATAGAAAGAGTTATGCAAGGTAATGCATTGATATAGGCATGCATTCCACGTTTATATATATACTCATTCGTGTTTATCATTGAGTGTGTATATATATCAGAGATACGCGTGTACCTGAATGAGAATACAATCTTAACATGGAAAGAAAAAAACAACTTGCAGATTCAAGAAACTTGAACAAACCAAAGGGGAACCCACCCAAGAGATTAAGGGCCCCAAATTAGATCTCTTAAAAAGAAGATTAAAACATACATAAATCACACAACACTCAAGAAACAGCATCTCCTCTCTGCCCAAACTAAAATCCGAATCCCTTTATATAACTTGTATAAGGATCTCTCAAAAACCCGAATGATGAGAAGATGAAGATGAAGAACCCCCAAAATGCAAAAAACCCGGGAAATCTTGCTCTTCTTGTTGCCTCGAAGATCCACCGGAATATGAAGAAGCCGTAGTAGTTGTCGTCGTAGTAGAAGGTAACATAGAAAATCCGCTTCCACCGGGCGAATTGTAACTCAGCATATCGCTAGAATTCACGCCTTGATAGTACTGATTGTGGTAGTATTGATTGTAATACGACATTGTGTGGGGAATATCAATGTGTGGATTTGAAGAATAAGGCTGATTAGGTGCGTTATAACCGGAGTTTGGTAGCTCGGAACTTGCAATGCTTCTTCCCAACTGAACCCTTTCGGGGAAATTGAGTTTGGCTTTGCTCCCTTTGAACCTAAGAGCGGCCTCGTCATAGGCTAAGGCCGCAGCCTCAGCTGTCTCAAATGTCCCCAGCCAAACACGAGCCGCCTTTTGTGGATCTCGGATTTCGGCCGCCCATTTTCCCCATGGCCTTTGTCTTACTCCTCTGTAGTGTCTCCTCCTCAAATTCCCTTCATATCAAAATTTGCAATTTTTTTCTAGTCAACAATCTCCGGTAGATCAAGATTCACTAACGTCCGGCTCTCTACACATTCTTGAATATATATTTTAAATCTAGATGTGCCTACACATATTTGTGTGTATGTGTGTGTATATATATCCCATATAACAATAGATATGTACATATGCATTTACATGCATCTATTATAGGCAGTACGGCACAAACAAACAAAGATACTTTCCCTGTAGCAGAAACGAAAATTTGATCATGTTTTCGTCATTCCATTTGTTTATACATATAGAGAGCCTGAGTCCAATAATTTCTCCTAATTAACCATCACATCCAATATAGCATAATATAAGGGCATAGTTGTATAAAACAAATCGTAAGATATATATATATATATATAATAAGGGCATATACATATGATTATATACCTTGATCTTGAGAAGGAGCAACTGGCTGACTCTGGTCTTGTGGATCATAAACAGAAGCCTGATCGTTTGGATTGACGCTATTACGTTGGTTGGTGTGATTGCTTCCGATAACTTGAGTCAAGGCAGAGACCATGACGCGCATGTCGTGCTGAGATCGAGCCGAGAACACCGGAAATACGTTCTCGTCATCCTCGGCCCCTTCCTTCTCCGATTCATCGGATCGAAAGGGCCTTTTCCCTTGATTTCTTGGATCCACCTTTGCAAGAATCTTCTAAAACCCTTTTGTTTGTTTTTTTCAGGGGATTTGATTTTTAGGGTTTCTTGATGGCGTTTCAGACATCAAGAAGATGGGGAGAGAAATGAAAAAAAGATTTGTAGGGTTTTGGTGAATGGTTTTGAGGCTTTTATAGCAAGAGGGTTTGTGTGTGAACGTGTGACGAAAACAAAAACGTCACGACAAAGTTTTGCATATTCTTTTTTTTTTCTTTATTTTTTCGTGTTTCTTAAAATATAGATATTTGATTTACCCAAAAAAACATTGTATAGATATTTGAAATGTGAAAAAATTAAAGATATTTTAATTTTCTCATGCAAAAGCCGTGAAACAAGAAATTTAATAATTACCCAAATTTTGATCAATTGTAAAACTATCATACAGTAATTGAGTTCGATCTTTTTATCCATATCGACGTGTACACTTACTTATGTATGCGTTTGTGTGTGTGTACATATACATTATTGGCATCTTGTTCCTCTCGGTTAATTATGGGAATTAATTGGATAACCAAACGTGTGAATAAATAATAAGATATATATATATATATATATAGTCATGAGGTAAAAGCTCAAGAAAAAAAAAAGAAATATGAACACTAGAAAGATCCAAATGAATATATATATATATATATATTATGTAAAAAGAGAATGAATGTTTTTTGTTTAATGATTCTTTTGAAGGTTAAGACATGCGTGCGCGTAATTTTGATCAAAGGGGACAAACTGTAGTGTTTAGTACTATAACTATTTCGAGTGCTTTGTGTTCTGTCCGTATGATTCTTTTCATTCGCTCCTTAAGGGCAAACTTGTAATTTCGTAAGATAGATACATTTTTTTGTGGGTTTGGTTGGTTTAATATACTTTGGACACGGGGGAACTAAGTCGGTTACCAATAAAATCGCTTGTCTTTTGAAACATATTTTGTTGCCATGTATATACATATATGTATATGTATATATGCGTGAATGAATAAAATGTTATATATAGAAATCTAATTTAGACCGACCCTAGCTTCTTAATTAGTGTGACATCGTCGTCCTATTAAATTAGTTCAAACAATGTTGGAAGATTCGACGTCGCATCATCCGATTGCGTAGATTGTTTTATTTTTATTTTATTTTCGTTGAATTATTAATTAGGCCCACATTTATAGATTCGGAGATAACAAATTTACTTTAAAAAAGAATATTATTGGTTAGTCACAGTTTGGTGCATTTTTAGGTCATATTCCGAAATTTATAATATAAAATCGTATGCAGCTTTATCTGTTTTGACTGTTGTAAATAGTTTATTAGTATTATTACAAGTTGTTTTGCATCTTTTTGAAAAAAAAAATATATATATTTACTAATTCAGCATTAGAAAGCCGGTCTCTAGTTTATTTATTTTGTTCCTTTTGCAATATATAAATTGAGTTTTCAAAACTAAACTATCACCAGTTTCAAAATAAAAAAAAGGATTATATGTCGGCTACCAATTTTTTTTTTGACTTGGAATAAACTCTCATTTTTCTTGTAGCGACTAGTATCCGTGAGATGTGATATATACATATATATATATATATAGATATAGATATAGATATATAAAACTAGAGGTGTGCATTTCGTTTCGGTTCCGAAGAATCGAACCGTACCGAACTAAAATTCTCGATATTTTTTTCGAATCGTACCGTTTTAACAGTATATTTTTTTATAGAACCAAAATTTCTATAATCGAACCGAATTTTATAAAATTTTCGAAAAACCAAAATTTTTTTAAGAAAAATTATTATTTTTTAACAAAAACCGAAACCGAAACCGAACCGAATCAAATAACATACGAAAATGATTTGATAAAAATTTTAGAATACCAAATAAACCGTTCTTAAATGGAACTGTTAAAATTACGAAAATAATCTTGAAACGTCCGCCCCTATATAAAACCATTTATTTTGGATTCCGTAAGTCAACGGCTAAATAAAGTTGACCATTTAAATATCTTTGAAATCTGCTGCGTTTATTTAGACAAAGAGGTTAGCAGTTTGACAAACTACAAATAAAATAACCGCCGATATTCGATCACTGGATTAGCTAAACTCGCGTGCTCTTTTAATGGTGAAGTCAAATCTAATGCATCATCATCTTCATACATTTCATCCTATAAATTTAAATTTTTTCCGAGTTCCAAAAATTAAATAAAAAATATGTATAAAACTCTTTAGCTGATAGATTCAATCAGTAAACATGATTTATATTTTTCTGGTAACAATTTTTTTTTTTCGAAAAACGATAAAAATCTTTAATTAAAAATTATGTATAAATTTAAATTCAATGACCTACCAATTTTAAACTCCATATCAATAAAAATATTCTAAAAAAACCATTATATTTATCCATATTAACGCTAATTTAAAAAAGATATAATGTATATTTCAATCGAATCGAAAATATATAACTTATTCTGGATACTTTTTAACAATTAAAATGTTATTTTGTTTTATGACATTAAAATTTTAAATCTATATATTTTTAGTTATTTTTTCTATTATGAGATATGTTTTGAGAAATTGCTTTGCAAAAGTATAACTTTTCTAAATTTAAAATAAAACTTTGTGATGACATAAAGGGACAGACTTATGTGTGCTTAGAGAATAAAAATCCAGAATGCATCCATCTCTTTGATTAGAACACTTTGAACTAGGGTGAGCATCTCGGTATTTGATTTGAGTCGAGAATGATTTGATTCGGTTCCGTCGATTTTACAAAAAAATATATCAATCGATTATTATATTATATTCGACTTCGATTTCGGTTCTGTTTTTTATTTAAAAAAATTCGGTTATTTAGCATTTTTTAAAATTAAAATTTTCTAAAATTAATACCGTTTTGAGAATTTTGAAATAAAAACCTCATGCAACTACAGATTCAGATTTCAGACATTTAAAATGAATAAAAACAGAAAGCCCCAACCTCTATTCTCCAAAAGAAAAACATCCTTCACTTCTTCCAAACAATAATTCTCTGGAAAGTCGAAACAAAGGGGAGATTGATTAATTCACTTTGTAGTTTGTACGGTTTAAAAGAAGGGAACCAAACCTCATGCAACTAAAACGTCGCCGTTTTGTGGCGTCTCGTTCTAGGGCATGAGAGCCCATGTACATGTATGTATGTACACACATCAGTCTTTACATACATATATATATATATGTGTGTGTGTGTGCGCGCGCGTGGTCAGGTACTTGGTGTGATCTTCCTCGTTCTCATGTATGTCAAAAACTGCGTTGGGAGTTCTGCCAGTAGTGACTGCACTACTGAAGCCTCTCCTCCATCTGCAATTTCCATTTAATATAAAACCAAATGATTACAGTCTTTCTAAAACCGAAATAAACAAACCCGAACATAACCGAACTGAAACCGAAATGGCCACCCCTAGTTGTGGATCGCACGCTCTTGTTATTATGCATTCAGAGTTGAAGGAAAAAAAAAACTCACATTGTACATCTCGTAATGCGACAAATTGGACAATGTCTCGTGAAGCCACTCGCCCGCTCGAACTCTCTAGTCGTTCTCCTTTGTCCGCATCCAGTATCTATAAACGATGTCACGAAACGGGTTAGTGGCAAAGAAGAAGGTTTTGAAGTTGAATAAGAATCTCTCTTTTGAGTTCTCTAAAAAAAGTACCTCCATCTCTTTGAAATCAGCTCCTCCAACTCCTATGATGAGGATCGACAATGGAAGATCCGATGCACTGACCAATGCGTCTTTAGTTTCTTGGAGGTCTGTTATTACACCATCCTGATATAATATAGGAGCAATACTCAAGTCATGTTTTTGTTTATGTCATGTTTGGTGTGTTTGTTCTGATGGATATGATATATATATATATATATATATATCCATCCTTCATCACCAACCAAGACACAGTAACTATGATTCTCAAACCAAAAAAAAAACCCCACATTTTAGGTTGTTTGATAGTTCTTCTATGTGCAAACTCACCGTTATGATCAATAAGACGTAGTATCTTCTTCCACCATGTTCGACCGACTGGCTGGCAATCGTCGCAGTGGCATTAATCACTGGGCCGAAAAGGGTCGGGCCAGCAAGAGAGACGTTGAATAGGGCACTGGTGTACGCCGTCATGATACCTTGAATTCCTTCCACCTGATAATATATGATCCGAAATCTCTTAAATTTATTATTTAAGATACAGAGATTTGACATCCTTCAAGGAATGTGACAGGAACAGTTTCAGGGTCAGACCTCACAATAAGTGCCGCTTCCGTTCAAGTTAAAGCAATGTGAGACTGGACCATCGATTGGGCGAGCTCCGAACCCCCAGGAAGGGAAGCGTTTGTCAGAGTCGTAGAACTGTAATACTTCTCCGACTTCCACTATCGCCTGAGGAGAATAACGTGATAATTTAATCATTTTCTCCTGCTTGCTAGGAACAGCAAGTAAGTAATAGGGAAATCAAATAAAGTCCTCACTCTCTGGTAGGCATTTAATCTTCCTGAAGGATCGATGTAATGCAAAGAATCTGGAAGGCGGGGATTTCCATTTGAAGCTGATGGGACAAGACACAGTTTTGATTAGTTTACAGGAAGGCAGGGAAAGTCTCGGAAAAAAGTCTTGAACTTTTGTCTTTCCTCTATGGACTGAACAATATCAATAATATATAGGTGAATCAAATTTCTCCACATGATGTACTCTGTAGGAACATTTTCACATCTTTTGCAAACAGTGGTGTTGACTCTACCTGTGAAATCAATTGCCACCATGAAGTTCATTTCAAAACCTGATGCCAAGTATTCCAAGAAAGTATGTTGGACTGTCTCCGAAAACTTGTCCACATAAAGCTGGCTCTTCAAAGTCTAGAAACAAATGTAACAAAAAAAGGTGGTATTAGATATCCGACACACAAAGACATAAATGTTCTAGGAATTCTCTTGTTAATGGTATTTACCCTGTCTTCATGTTTATGTCCAGTTGGTAAGGATAAATTGATTCCTTGCCCGACGGAATGAATCTTCTCTAAGTCTGCAAGCGATTTCTGAACTTTCCTGACCACCCAAAAATAAAAAAGGATTATCCAGCTAACAGTTCATGGTCACCCCAAAATGACACGGATGAAAAATAAAATTTTTGGTTACCCGATAAGAACGTGTTTGCCGTTGCTATTATAGTCAAAGCATTCTATTATCAGTGGGCTGTCCTGCGTGTTCGAAGGACAGAAATGAAATTGTACTGTGATGAGACAGAAGACAGTAACAGAGAATCATTGTTGCTAGTCAAGCATATCATTCCAAACTAGCTCGGATAAGAGAAGAAACCCTCGGTACCTTACTTCCCACTTGTTGAACACTTAGAAAGACTGGCTTCCATGTTGGGTTGAGATCATTCTTTAAGACTTCGGTTTTCGACACAGGGATTGGAACCCCATACTCTACGATCTTTGATATCACCAATAAGGGGTCCTGAGGACGAGTGAAAACAGAAAGCAAGGTTACCGTTATGTCTGAAATAATTCCCAAAATAGAAAAGTAAGAGAATATAGTCCTAGAATAACACATACGCTTTTTGAGAAAATATCCTTTGATTCCAAATTTAAGCACCTAAATACTATCTCGGTTGTGGTCTTAGAAGCAACAGACTCCTCAGCATGGACAATAAGCTTTCCATGGTTTTGTGACTGAGTCTGTGGAGCATAACCTTCTTTATGCATGAGTTCTAAGGTAACTGTCCTGTTTGATTTAGTGACAATCTGCACAGTTTATCAGTAAAAATGAAATCAACTCAATATAATTTATAGTAATTCGGCTTAAAATTAAAAAGAATTTCATGCAATTGATACCTCAGACAATGTACAAGTTGCCTCGCCAAGAAACTGCTGCTCATCGAGCTTCAGCATCTGAAATTTAACATATTCATGTTAATAAAAGTAAGTTTGGAGGACAGGCTTGCATTATCTGACCAGACTAGATCATAACATGCCTGATATGAGATAAGCATGTGGGTGCTGGTAGCCAGATCGAAAAGAGAAGAAACAATCGACATGGATATACACGCACATGTAACTGTAGAAAATTCTAAGGAATGGGAAGAATTTCAATAAAATGAAAGTGGATGGAACAAATGTTGCAGTTACCTCCTCTCTTGAATTTTGAAACTGCTTGTCGATATCGTACACACGAAACCTGAGCATTACAGCCAACACAAGAAGAGGTCATGTATTTCAGAAAGGGGTAAGCTTTGGATTTCTTTTCTGAGATGTGGGTAAGACCTGGAACTTACAACAATGTCTGCACGATCTCAAATTGATAAACGATCGTAAATTTCTTAATCCATTTAGGATTTAAGGAATTCAAAACAACTTCACTACGGCATACTTCAGTAAGAGCTCCATCTTTTCCTTTCGTATAAATCACCAGCATCGGATCGCTCTGAAAAACAAAGTTTTCAGACAACTGGTTAACTTTTCTTTTTTAAACCTATGACAAATGCAGCCATTGTTATGTGCTTTGCTACAACTATGTCCATGAACCTGATGGTCAACCAGCTAAAACAAGCAAAACTAAAACCCTAATTTCCAACCTAACTGTTAAACCCCGGAGAGATCAGAGATTCAAGGATGGAAGCTCCGAATCAGAACGAACCTTGGAGAGCACGTCCCGGTCTCGCAGATTGGAAGCAGAAAATGATAGCTGCAAACAAGACATTTACAGGGAAAAAACTTCAGAAACACGAAAATCAGGCAACGATGGAAACTCGAACTCAATCGAAGCACATGTGAGTTCTTCGCATGTCAGAACCAGAGAGAGAGAGAGAAATGAACGGAGATGGAAACCTCGATATGAGAGAAAAGTCCGTGGAAGCCGCGAGAATTGAGGTAGCAGTCAACGGCGTCGTTGGCGTTGGGGGCGGCGGCGGAGGAAGCAATTCCACCAACACCGGCCAAGCCAGCGGCGGCGGCGGAGGATGCGGCACCGGAGCAGCAGTTCCCCATAGAAAATCAACTGGTGAAATCTGTGGATCAGGTCCTGGATCGAACAACAGAAACAACCATTTGAGTTCGAGGAATGCAGAAGAGGAAGAAAGGAGGGAAGAGGTGGGCCCCAGTCGTGTCCAAGCCTTCTGACTCCATTTTAACGGAGCTCCTTTTCTTTTTAAAGGAGAAAAAAAAATCTGATTAAAAATGACTTTGCGAATATTTCAGGAAATATCCAAACATCTTTTACTAATTTCTTAGAAATCTTCAAATAGTCCTCTTTTCAAATATTTATGTCGACGTGTTATTTTTGTCTTTTTGTCTGATATTTTAAATCTCGGACGTTTTTATCCTTTTCTTTTGAGGAATTATTCTCATATAAAAAGAACCAGGAAATTGAAAATAATAAATTATTTTAGAGAAAACTTTATAATGATTTTTTTTTCTTTTGTTAGCAGCTGTGTTATTATCATATCACTAAAATATTTATAATAAAAAAACCCATATTTGTAATAATTATCAATGATGTCAAATGATGAGAAGATCTATAATCTAAGATATAAGCAAATACATACAAAAATAGATTATGTTTCAGTTAAAAATAAACCCCAATGTCATGGTCATTTACCAAAGTAAAAATTTGGACAAAGTTTTGCTATGGAAGCCGGAAATTTTGACTGGGAAATTTCGCCAAAGCTGTGGCCCAATCGCTTAGGAAAATACCGCCTCATTGCATTGTAGTTTCTGTGAAATATCGTCCAAATGGACCACAAATTTATGGTATTTGATTCGAATACGTTCGAACTAATTTAGATTTCAGGGTTTATAGTCCGATTTCAAACCTATGGTCGGTTAATTTCTATAATTTTGAATATTTTACGAGTAATTCAAATATTTTGATATCAGCGGATGGGATGAAAATGAAAATGGACCGATAAGTTGTTGGGTAATGAGAAACATACTATTTTCACTATTTTATCAAAAAAAAAAATATAGGGCAATCGTTTTATTACTATTCTTTTTTTTTAACCATAATTGTCTACATAATTATATACCAAAAACCATTTTTATTTTGCCAAGATTCTTCCCAAAAAGAAATCCATACTTCAGCTTGTGGCCAAAACATTGGTAGAAATGTAGGGAGATCTGTATTCTCTCACCTGAAATGTTCACAACAACAGCAAAAAAACAACTGGTAAACCAAGCAAGCTTTTGATTCTATCACTAGCAAAAACCTTGGAGCCCTACTTACTGAGCAGACAGAACAGAACTCGATATCGCAACAGTTAGAAAACCGAAAAGGTTCTAGTTAGTTACCGACCAAACCAGAGGAGAAATCCGAAAAGGGCGGTGTTATGATTGATGCATACCTCTAATAAGCAAGTGGGTATCTGAATCAAACCCTGCAGGAGAATATCAACTTTCTGAAGAATGTGTCCGGCAATGGGACTGATGATGTACAACACGCCTTTCTCCATGTCGATACCTCTAACCATCCCTACGAGATTCCAGAACAACGAACAAATCGTCAAAATCCAATCTTCGAGTATCCAACTTAATCCATAAAAAGCAAAGTTTATCGGATCTATGGAGACAAACTCATGAGAAAAAATTATATACTATATATTCCTTATGGAGTTTTGAGAGATCACCAGTCTTCAGTGTTCTTTTTATTATGTCTAACTAATAGCTGGATTTACCGAATGCATTGGTAGAAAGGAAAGTTATATAAAAGGGTAAAAAACTCTTTACCAAGACCCACACACGAAGGCAAATCTTCAAACACATCAGAACTAACGCCCAGGCCGACAATAGTTGCGTTCAGACTATACAAGACTTCAGAGCTTGGAATCTGACCCGAAACAATAAATAAATCAAGATTGGCATCGATGAGAAAAGACAAGCTACGATTTGTGGAAACAATTTTCTAATTTTAGTATGTTTCACCTGAAAATGAAGATGCTCGATTTTCATGATTGATATTGGGACTTCATATGGGGTATGTGAAGCGAGTTCATGGGCGAGTTCTTTGACTGTGCTGACTTCCTTATCTCTGATGCACTGTCTGAAGTAAGCGACTATCCGTACATCCCGCATGAGACGGGTATCCTTTTGTATTAAAACACTGTCAAAGCAGAACAATACAAAAAAAAAAGAGAGTAAAAGCCACAGTTAAAATTGGAAGAAAATACATGAATCCCACACAAAGTAAGTCTGCACCAACTTGCAAAGAAGTGAGTGACCTATAGATATACTAACTATATTTTGTCCAAAATGCAGCCACCAATTTGCAACTTTTTTCCCTAATAATTCATCAAACTGGAAACTTTTGGGTAAGTTTACCCAGCCACAGCTTGCTGTCCAACCACCATTTCGAGTGGATATCTGACGCACAGAATCAAATCAATTGTCTGATGAGGAACATTTTTTTTAATCTTGTTGTCTTTTCTTCTCTCTTCCCACAGTGTAAGTTGTGTATGTCCAAACATATACATGTTAAGAGGTTGTCTATGGCACCACTTGTTTGCTGGTGCACTTAGGATAGTGAAACAATGAGATTATTGTGCCTAAGAGCTTCCATTTTCAGAACAGCAAGGCAACAACTGAAAAGTGCTCAGATGGACTTACGATCTACTGAGACTGTCTCGGTAAGCTGATTGAATCTCTATAAGATTAACAGTCTCCTCATGGTTACGGTCTAACCAGAACAACCCAGCTGGGAGGTTCTTGGGCTCGGCAGAAATATTGATCTTCACAACATGGGTGGGAGAGACATACCCCAGCACATCCACCAACATATCATATCCTATACCTAAAATAGCAAAAATTACACAAAATTTTGAGAATTTTGTATCATAATTTCTATCAATGTTGAAAGGGGCACAAATGAAAAGGAAATAAAAAATGGAAAAGGCAAGATACCTTTTACCCACCCTGGTGTATTAACGACGAGCGGCAGACCAGTTTTGCTCTCGTTAGACTGGGAGAAGTGTAACTGGTAGTAATCATATAGGGTAAATATATACCTTAGATATGTTTTCGGATCCCTCTTAGAAGAAACATCACCGAAGAAAAAACACCTGAATGTAAAGAAGAATCTAAATGACTCAATCTAACATCAGGGCTTTTAATGCTACTGAACTGACAATATCTAAGCTTGAACCGAACTACCTCTCAGGTGTCTTTACACATGGAATGGACAAATCTGAGTCTACACAGCAGAAATAGGGATAAAATCCTTGATCAGTAATAGGAGATTCACTACATAGATGAACATGTTTCTTCAGGCTATGAATAGGTTCTTCATCAATTCAGGAACTTGAGAAACAACATGAAAATCACTATAAGTTACCTAGAATTGATTTATCCAATAACGTGAGAGAAATAAAACCAGGGGCTGTGAATTCAGGCTGGCCAACATCGGTGTCCAGATACACTACTTGTTTGTACCTGCAAACATACAACCAACAGATAATTAGACTTCATCTTGCTATATAACAAACCGAGAAGATAACAACTTCGTACTTCAATTACAAAACAGATAATCAGACGCTACTTTTACGTTGTTTATAATTCCTGAATCCATTTCAAAAAAGGGATGTTGCAAGGAGGTTAAAAAATAAAGGCATTATGAGCAACACCATAGAATCAGATCCCCTTACAGGATTACTGCCATAGTAAGGCAAAGCCGTAGCTTCTGGATCATTAACCCAAGAAAAGGGTTTAACTCGATCAATTAAATCCTGAGACGATAAACACTTTTTTGTAACATAAACGCTTGAAAAAGGATTTGGAAGAGAGGAAAATCGAGTACCTCTGTAGAAGAACTTCAACAAGGAAGCGGGAAAAGGTGCTTTTGCCGCTATTTTTTGGGCCACAGACCAGAGCTACAGGCGTGATGAAACTGCAGGCAACCGAATTCGCAGCCTCAGACCACTCATCTGGTACATAAGGCAATTTCCTCTCTGTTTCCGACATTGCAGCCGTCTTCTCCTCGAAACAAAGTCAAGATTAAGGGTTCCCATCAATAACTACTGAGTCCAAATCTCCAAAAATACTCCCCACTGATTCACAACTAATATAACGATGGATTTCTTTCAATTTATTGCTTAACTGAAGCTATAGCGGATTTACAACGTTTATCAAACCGTATTTTTCCACAAGTCCTTTTGTCCTTGAAAGACTAAATTCGTAAGGAGCAATAGATAAGGATCGAGGGGGTCGAATCAACACTAGAACAGAACGGACTTGACAGCAATAAAAATGAAGACAGGAATCGAGAAGCTAAGACTTACTTGGAGAGATGAAGAAGAAACAGTCTGGTGATTAGGAGGAACCGTGTCGAAAACGACAATTAGGGTTCCTTCTCCGGCAACGGCTTCTGAGAGAGAGAGGGTTTTTAATGGGTCGGGTTTAATCCGACCCGATTAAAGTTTAAACACTATCCTTAATTGAATTGTTCCCAAAATGGGTTAAATATATTTGGTCCGAACAAGGCCCATAAAGATTAAATTGGGCCCGCCCTTTACGCTCCTGAAAGTTCGAGGATACATATATATGGCATTGATTTTCACTGACGGGGAACCTTTCAGTCATAGATACTGAAAACTGAAAAAATCGACCAAGTCATATGTTGCATAATGCATCATACCAAATCAACATTTGAAGATCATACATATATATATATATATTATATATATATATATATATATATATATATTTTATAAAAAAAAAACATAAAGCAGCAACATACAAGAAGATCTGAAATTCTGTCTCAGAGATCACCAAAAAAAGACGAGAAAAAACGACAGCCAGAACTCCAATAATAACCAGAGAGAGTAACAAGCAAATGGCAACAAGCGCCGATGAAGAAGTTCCTCCTATAAACAATTCAAAACCAAAACAAAAGAATCCCCACACGACAACTCCTCGACCTGCGATTTGCCCATCACTAAGTTACGTCCTTAGACTCATCAACACGCACAAAAAAAAAACCCAGATTTCTCTGGGACCTATCTGCAACAATGTCTTTTTAGTCACAGCCATTGATGTGGTATGGAATGGATAAACCAACAAAATTTCACCAGAGCCAGGGTATTTCTGCAGTCCATGTTCTAAAAAACTTGGTACCCGACCTTGGACTGCAGCCGAAAATAAACAAATACCCGTCCCTAACGACGCCAGATGATGATACAACCAAAATTTGTGAAGCGGGGAAGGGCTCCGCTCCACGGGTTTTATGATTCTCCCAAAACTTTTGTCCTCCTCTACTGCAAAATGATTAGTCAGGTGAACCCCCCCCCTGATTATATATATGTAGTGGTAAAGTTTTTACCTTTTTTTTTCTCTTTTACCTCTCACACAGTACGTCTAAAGGTTAGTCTACTGGATGGATTGGATTTGGTTGCCCGTCGGTTAGTTTCTCCATACAGGAAGAGTCGGTTCCATTTGGAGGTTCTTCTCTGTTTTCCAGAACAGAAGAGCTGCTATGGTTGTTGCTATAGCTGCTGTCAATGCTGCCCATTCGAGGCTTGCCTGGCCTTGAACGGATGCTGGTACCCATTGGAAATGGCTCCTGCAGGAAAAGATGAAGCAAAGGCATCCACTTGTTACAAAAAAATGGTTTGTTTTCTTAAAGTCCTTCCAAGAGCTACCGCTTGATCATCCAAAATTAATTAAACTTTTGGCATCAAGCAATCAACATCAGCAACCAGATATTTGCTCCGGTAAGTATAACCCGACTAATTGGAAATTGATTTGTAGAACCTAGTTGAATGTTCACAATGGAGATGGGAACAAGTTTGGGCCATCAGTTTGGAATAGGACTGGACAATGCAAATGCATAGTAAATATGTATAAAGCAATCATAACTAAGAATTCATTTGAAAATGCATTTCGGCCATTGGCATGAAAGAAAATGAGGAACGCAGGAACCTACTGGACAATGTGTATAATGTCATGATTAGTACAAAAATATTTTACATAGTAACACTAATAGGGTGTTTGAAAGGAAAATAATAAAAGTGATGTTTAGTGAGGTTTTAATCTTACCTGATCACCAGCATTTGGGCCATCGGTGTGGAAGAGAATAGGGCGGCAACGTTTGTCTTCATTCATCAGACTTGAATTCTGGAAATGAGATACAAGAGCTGTTTTTCCCTGAATCCGAGCATATGCAAGATATGCCACCTTTTCACTGTTGAACTTTTCCCATTTCTTACCGTCGAATGCCTGTGAAAGTTTTAAACATTGCACTCAGCATTTTCATCAAAGACAGTTGTTAAGTTCAAAAACACAAGAGCACGAGAACAAGCAAAAACATGACAGCAGAAAATCAGACCTTATGAAATGGAATTATCTTTTTAGGATCAATTAGGTTGATGAAAGCATAACCCACATTGCATTTGTTCTGCAGATAAGGGGCAAAAAAAAAAGATAATATTACAAATAATGAAAACTGGGAGTGTGCATCACCACTTCCACAGAAAGAAAATGCAGGAGGGTTGCTTACCTTGAAGTCAATTGGTAAATAAAGAAAATCATAGGTTCCTTTGCAATACTCATCAATTGCAGCTAGAAGCATCTTTGAGGTATACCTAAACCATAACAAAAAGAATATCAGAAAAAGTAACAAAAACATGAAGAACAATACAAAAGCAACCTATGAATTTAACTCGAAGGAACCCATAACTAGATCGCAGAACAAATAGAACAGAGAACAAAAAACAAAAGGGTAGTCCAGAATCACTTGTTAGGAATGTTTTTTATCATCAATGTTGTTCTGCTGTCCTCCCCATGCAAGATGCGATCAATGTCAAGCTCATATTGTTTCTTGTCAGCATTAGTAGAACCAGGGTCACTTCTACGGTGAGAGAGGGTTCTGTATCGCTCAGTTGGAGAATCAAATGAACCCGGCATCGAAACCATTGGGTTCCTTCCGGGAAAGAGGTTAGGCATTTGCTGAGGAGATCGCATCACAGCATTTGCCGCATTTAAATCAATACGATTCCCAACAACGTGAGCAAAAATCTTTTGAGAAGCAATTTCCATTGGATGTGATGGAGAAGAGCCAGGGAATCCCATGCTCCTGTGAGAACCCAAGTGAAAGCCAGACGATTCTGGAGATTCTGCCACAAAGGGCTGTCTTCTATCCCAGAAAGGTGAATTCATTACTGGTGCAGATCCAATGTGGTGTTGAACAGGGGACGACGACATGTTCACCATTAGAGAAGGTGCTCTAGAAAATGAGGCAGCAGTTGGGATGCGCTGAGGAATGCTATTGACGTGTGATGGTGAGTTGGGCCACATCATACCACTTGTCAAACTCGGTTGATGAGTGTTGCTCCATACAACATGGTTTGCACGATGAGCACTTTCACTCATGGGAGATCCTATGACTGTAACAGAAAATTAAATCAATAGTGACAAACTAGAAAAATCTTGCATATGCACGGGCAAAACATGAAATATGGATTCTAGGAAAGCATTTAACAACTGCCAAACTCTGTTAAGGGACATAATAAATGTTATAGCTTCTTTACCTTCTCAAACTCCAGCCCAGAATTGCCTTTTATATTAAGCAAACAGAATGTCACCGAAAGTTACCAGTACTATTTTCCCAAGGATAACAAATTTTACACCCAAGATGAATAAAGGAGCCAGTTACTAAAGGCCAGATATAATTATGTTTTCATTGCTGTGGCATTTCGGAAACCACTAAATTTGGATCACGGAATAATCTCTGTCCTAACTTAAAAACTGTGGTCTCCAATAGTATGCCACACCAAAATTCCTCTAGATCACTATAATGCAATAATAATCTTAGAAAACTTTATCAAGGCAGTATAGCAAATAAAAAATAAAAAATCAGAACTTACCCCCTGCATTAAACCCATCTGCAACAGCCCCACGAACTTTGTTAGTCATAAAACCATCATTTGGTTTTGCGCCATCACTAACCATTTCCGAATAAGTTTTCGAATTATATGGACTACCACCCACAAAGTTGTCATGATACTCCGGTAAAGAATGGGGATATAGATTTGGCATGCTTTGGATCCCCGTTGTCAAATTATCAAAAGGGTGGTTGGGCTCCTGAAGACCAATTGGCTTGCTTGCAGAAATTACACTTGCAGAAGATGGCCAGGCAATAGGAATATTGAGACTCTGATGACGTTCAGCGAGGGAGTGCACCGGTGACCTGATAGAACAGTGCAGACTACGCATTGATCCACCATCAATGGAACTAGAAGCTATTATTCCTGGGAAGTTTCTCCCTGAAACACATTTCAATGGTAGATAAGAGTTTCTTTTTCTTTTCTACTGAGATAACAAATCATCATTAACAAAAAAAAAAACAAATCATTCAGAAAAGGAAAATCATAAACAGAATGCAAGAATATACCGATGTGCGTTGATGATATATTACGCGTACCCTCTGCTTGGGCTGGTGCAACTTTCAACCACTTCCCAGCTATTTCACTTCCATTAAGTCCACGAAGGGCAGCCTTGGCAGCTCGAATATCGTAGAATTCTATGTATATCTGCTGATTCTCGTGTGTGGTTTTACGAATCTGCAAACAATCCAAACACCTTTTAAGCATCAATGTAAAATTCAAAGCAAAAGAGAATCAGTAAACAAACCTCTTTTATTTCTCCATATGAAACGAATATACGTTGAAGCTCTTCTCTTGAAATGGAGGTATCGAGATTATTAACCAACAACGCTCCTTGATTTATGTCCTCTTCTGATAGATTTTCCTGATGGTTTTCAAAAGGGTAATTTAAGCAAGATATGATGAAACAGATGAAACAAATGAAACAAGAGCAGATAGCATTAGCAGCAACCAAAACAACCAGAGAAAAGGCATAGCTTTCTGCGGAAAAGTAAATGACACCTTGGGGATGGAAAAATGAATGTCAAGCTTCCTCCGCCACAACAGCTTATCCTGAAGTGCTCTCATCGCGTTCTGGGCAGCCCTTATATCGTAGTAAGATATCATGATGAATCCACGATTTTTGCAGGCTGTATAAAGAGCACGGATGTCTCCGTATTGCTGGACAACATAATTTCTTATCATTACGGAACAAAACGAAATAAAAATATCTACATAACATATATCGTCATGCAATAAGAACCTGCTACAACCAGTAATGTGGCTGAGATTACGTACCTCAAAAAGGGCCTTCAGGTCATAATCTTCAACATTGCTGTTGATATTTCTGACAAAAAGTGTCCTGGATGGAATTTCTCCCTGAGGATGTTCACCAATAATAGACACATTGCCGCCAAAATCACCGTTTGGAACTTTCATAACGTCAAAATTTATTTGGACCCCAGAAGAACGAACATCTCCATCTAGTTCCAGGCCACCGACACTGCTGAACAGGTCAAAATCATCCAAATCATCTCCATTATTGGCTTGAGATTTACGTCCAATCTCACCAACCACTTCTGCGAAGAGATCATCCTCGTCTGGAAGAAGACTTCCGATAGTTTGCGCCTCAATCTCTTCAAGTGACTCAAAAGGCTCATCGATCTCGCGATGGGAAGCAGCTGTATTAACAGGCTGAGACGCTAGCATATCACTCCTCTGTAGCCGTACTACAGAAAGAAAAAGTAGCAATTTATATTATCAATCGAAGGTATCTAGAAAACAAGGACAATTTATCAGTGCAAACCTAATGCTACGAACTGAAGTTATCACACAAGAAACACCAAACTTTTACATACGGTATTCTCTAGAAGTACAAATATGACCGGAGCACGTTTGTCTACAGGCTGGTAGATTAAGTAAATGAAAAGCAGTTCAGTGCGACATAATAGGTAAAATTCTTTAAAAACTCAAATCAGAAGCTTACGTTTTCTACTAAATAATTCAGATAGTGAGCTGGAGAAGAGACTGCTTTCCCACTCGGTATCAATAGTAGTTGTTTTCCCATTAGGGTTAACAGATGGCAACCCCAGAGACATGCTTGATTGTGGCTTCAACTGGTAATTTTCAGAAGTCCACGGACTCCTTGATAAATTGGGAGGTCTATCCCCACCGCCTTTGTTATCAAGCATCAGATTTGTTTTCCTGAAACCAAATTGTCTCTGCCCAAGAAACCATTACAAGTACAGGGAGTTACAGAAAGCAGAGAAAAGACATCATTTAATATGGCTTGGAGATTATTACGATGCATAATGTCGTAATGGCTCAGAAAAATCTCGAGCCATACACTTCAGCGTGAAATTATATCATCAGAAATTCTGATTCCGAAATACACAAAAGCCAACAGTCACCTCTGACATGTGACGAACTTCTTCATGAAAGTGGTGATCCATCATATCCGACGGCATCATGCAGGCCACGGAAAGTTCAAAAGATTATACCTGGCTCAAACACTATGACTCACTAGTTGCATCCACCGAACATAGCCCTTCCCTGGAATTGAAGGACGAGCACCAGCATCAAAGCCAATACCTGATGAAACATAATGCACTTCTCATTTTCAAAGCAAGTCTTGACAGAATGACTACCATCAGTTGCTCAACATATATTAACACCATAACGTTCCCAATCTCACGTATCAAGTATTCCGCGGATACAAATCGGAAACTTTCTTGTTCACAAAACCAACTTAAACCCAAAAACCGTACGGGATGCAAAAAAAGTTGGCAAATTTATGCAATCTAGGGGCTCAAACGAACCACAAATTCGGAATTCTCACTAATCCTTTTTTCTCCTGCAGAAAGAACTGTGCATATAAATTCGCAGAGGGAAAACGTGTTGAACAAAACAACGCCTCGAATCATCTTCTACACAAGCAGAAATACCCGCGGCGACACAATTCGTGATTTCAGCCGCGAGAAGACCACAATTCGCCTAATTTCGGATCCTTGTGAGAGTAATAATACCAGAAAGGAAACCCAACTCTTCCCAAATTCAAAAAAAAAAAAAACATCACGAAAAGAATTCACCCGAAAAAAAAAAGAGGAAAACCCTAAGCAACAACTACCGCAAATATTTGAAACTCACCTAATTCTGAACAAACCCAATTCAGGTTCTGCTTCTTCTCTCTGAATTCCTCCAAAACAAAGCCGAACCAGCTTTTTAGCAAACAGCTTCGACAACTAATGAACGGATCTCACAAACCTCCCTCACGGCATCGGAAACCAGAAGGAAAATGCAGCACCGTAGATGTAGAGAGAGAAGGAGAGAGAACAGAATAATTTTGCCTTCTCTTTTATCTTCCTCCTTTGCTTTTTTGTTTCCTTCTATCCAATCACAACCATCAGAGAATATTTAATTCCCCAAAAAAAAACAAATCCACCACGACGAGGAAAAAAAGTGAATCGGCGTCAAAAAAAAGTTTCTCAAATTCCCCCTCCCCCAACGATACGGCGGCGTGCCAACGGATCCTTCGTACAGACGAATGGGGAAACGACCGCAGGTGCAGAATTCCGGCGAGGCTCCGCCGGAGACCGCTCGATTCCGGCGTTCTCTCCTAGAGAGAGAAACAGAGAGGAGAGAGAGTTTGTTTCTTTTTTCTAGTTGGTTTGAAAAAAAAATGGAAGGAAGAAGACAAAAGACGGAAAAAAACACGAAGATTTGACAAGGAGATTTTACTAAGGTGTATGTGCCATGGATCTAGCGATACGGTACGAGCTTTAACCGGAACCGTTGGATTCGGATTGAAACACGTTTCTTAAATTAAAACAAATTAATTTCATTTTTTGAACAAAAAAAAAAACAATTACAGAAATAGTTGCGGTTAATTCTTTTTTTTTCCTAGTCAAATCGTATTTTTTTAGGATGTTTTTTTTTCTTTGTGTATTATATCGAATTCAATGTTGACATTATGACATTTTAATATCGTTGGAGTTGGTTTTGAAACTTAAATCCGATTTTATATTTTATTAGGTTGGAACTTTTTACGATAGATTTCGAAAAATTATAGGAAATTTTGGATTTTTAACTTTTTAAATATCCTCCTTCTCAACTTAAAATTATTTAGTTTGTTTTTATTAATAACAGAAATTCTAATTGGAAAATTCACCTAAAACCGCAAAAAATGAAAAAACCTCTAACGATTCTTTCTCGTAACAAAGTAAAATCTAGAAGATGAAAAAATAAAAAATGGCGGATTTAAATTTTAAAACCAGAACCTCTCGTAAATTATTTATATATATATATATATATATATATATATATAACAATAATAAAAAACTTCAATTTGTATTTCTTGGAATGCTAAATGCCGGCCTATTTCTGAAAGATTAATGTTTCATTTTGTTTTCCAATATAAAAAAATGTCTCTTTCTATAGAATATACAAATAGACAATGTTAATTTGCCGTACTTCTAAAATTAAAATTTTATGCATTTTAATATTAAGATGTTTAAAATTTAAATATAAAAATTGTAAATTGAATACCACCGAAGAGATGTCGTATACGACACTCATCGTCGGGTCTACTAATGGCATCATAGGCTTATATGTAGAAATAGGTAATTTTTAAATCGGAAAACAAAAATAAACATTTCATCTTTTAGAAATAAAGATTATATATATATATATATATAGATAACCTAGTAAACTATACCTTATAAAAGTCTATCTTTTATATCCCAATTTAAATAGTATTTTGCATGAGAAATTATAAAATTTCGGTGTAACTGTAAATGGCATTTCGTACACAAACAAAAAAAAAAAAAAACCTTTATTGTTGTTGGGAAAATATTCTGTATCAAATTTTCCTCCAGGTGTCGACTTTTCATTGGTCCAAGTCATCAAAGCTGCGCCAGGAAATCTTCTGGGCTTTGGTTATCTGCTCACTTCTCCACCTTCATGTCCGTGCACCTCTCCCCTTGCGGGCCGTCAGATTTATCCGCTGACGTCAGCTTTGCATTAAACAATGCTAATCACTTCAGTGTTTAACAAACCCGACCCAACACCGCAACATATATCCAGTTTTTTTAATAAACGACGTAATAGTAATTACGGGTTAATTATGATTAGTACCGAATCATAGATCCTTGATTACAATAGAATCACGCTACTCTCACATGGCTACCTACAACCTCGGAGTGCTTAGTATTTTATTATGAATTATGATACTTCCGTTATGAATTTATTTAAATTCCAAATCATCCTTGTGATGATGGATCGATTAAAAATTATTTATTAAAGATAAAATTTAATGTTTATTATCATAAAAATATCTTCGAAATTAGAAAATTTCGGATTTATAGATAAGTAAGATTTAAATAGATATTTTATAAAAAAAATATGTTTCTAACCCGACATAAACCCCCCCCCCAGAATACTTTACTTAATCATATTTAAATAAAACGTTTAATCGGTTGAATAATAAATCTTTCACGTGCTAAATCTTGGAGAATACGGTTGGACAGAAGAGCAAGACAGGAACAATAACCAATGGGGGAGTCGAGGAAGCGGGAACTTTTTGAGTTATCATTGGATAATTATACTAATACAAATATATATATATATATATATATATATTGATGGACTGATTAGTGAATGTTAATGACACATTCGTTATCCATATGGTATAAATATTATTTAATGACCGTCCGTAGGTGAGTAACACGGCCCGTCAAAAGTCCATTAAAATGTTAGCATGGCTCATAAAAAGCCCATGAAAGCCCATATGCTCACTAGCTGCTTCCGCCTCTGGTAGAGACTATGCCAGTTGGCAAAGGGATTTTTCCTTAAAAACTAAAAACATGTGTTAGCAAACACAACGCACGCATCTATAAGATTTTTTCTTAGGTTCCACATGCACATATACATATTACATATATATATATATATATATTATAGTAATTGTATCGGTGAAATAACGATTATTAATTCTAAAACTGTGTATAATCAATCACAAGACCAAATTTAAATAATTATAAAATCAAATACAACCAGTTGTCCGCAATTCTCCAATGGAATCTCCCTCGTTTATTAAATGACCTGCAAATGAAACGTGTCAAAAAATACATTTTCCACAAACTTTGAACTTTGGCTTCGATATGTAATCACACACCTTTTATGACTATACACACACACACACACATATATATATTTTTGTAAGGGTTGACCGATATTCAAATTTATTGAACATATATACATTTCATTCTATCGTTGTATTCGACCATAATATCGTCGGAACATCCCCATATATATGTATATATATACCCATATATATATATGGGTGGACCCATGTACAAGGTAATGCCCCACTGTTAAATAAAAAAATGTTTAATTGCTTTGTAAATTATATAAATTTTTAATCAAAATCGTTAAATTTCTCCAATGAAATTAAATTTGTCCGTACAATATTCCGATTATACATTAGGCTCCCGATTATAAATTACTCTCGCTCTGCCACTATATATATATATATATATATATATATGAAACAGGTGTCAAATACCACGTGTGTTTGCTAAAGAATCTATCCTCTAATTCTCTCTAATTTAATGTTAATTAAAAAAACCTCTATAGAAAATTCGGAGAAGAGTATCATCTTCTGGTTATATAACTGCGACAACCGATCCTTCTAACTACGTCCATATATATATATATATGTATATGTACGTATAAAGAGTGGATTATGTAAAGATTTAACTTGGAAAGTGGGACCGCACCATTAGTTCTACAAACCCTAACACTACTTTTCTTTTGTTAGCAGTTACGTGAACAGCAAGAAACCCCCTCACCACGCGTAAAACCCTAAACACACCCCTCCCTCTGCAGGACCTTCAACACGTCGAGCATGGTGGGCCGACCTGACGGCGCCTCCGCAAGGCAAAGCACGGCTATCTTCAGCACCCTGAGCATCGACGGCTTCGATTCCGCCGTCAGAACCAGCGGGTCCAGAACCTCCGCACCATTCCCCTGTCTGATTTTCCGAAACACCCATCCAACCAAGTTCCCCCCTTCACTCTCCTTGAACTCAGGCCCCGTCGGCTCCTTCCCCGTCACCAGCTCGACCAATATCACCCCGAAGCTGTACACATCTCCCTTGGCCGTGGCCCGGCCGCTCTGTCCGTACTCCGGCGGGATATACCCGAATGTCCCGGCTATGTCCGTGCTGACATGGCTCTCGCACGCGCTGATCAGTCTGGCAAGCCCGAAATCCGCAACCTTTGGCTCGAACTCCTCGTCCAGGAGAATGTTGCTGGCTTTGATGTCTCGGTGTATGATGTGAGGGATGAATCCATGGTGGAGAAACGCAATCCCGCAGGCAGCCCCCGTCGCGATTTTCAGACGTTTGGACCAGTCCAGAACCTCGAGAATCCCTGTCTGGTTCCTTAACCAGTGGTCCAAGCTTCCATTCACCATGTATTCGTATACCAGAAGCTTTTCTTCCCCAAAAGAGCAGTAACCCATCAAAGAAACCAGATTGGGATGCTTCACTTTGCCCAGTGTCTCCATTTCCGCAACGAATTCTCGACTTCCCTGCGTTTTTGCCTCGCTCAGCTTCTTCACTGCCACCGTTTTACCACTGGGTAACGACGCTTTGTACACAGTTCCGAAGCCGCCATCTCCTATGATGTTCTTCTTGCAGAAGTTTTCTGTCGCCACGAGAATGTCTGAAAGGCTCAGCTTGAGAAGTGGCTGCTCGAATGTAGCCACGTTAATGCTTAAGGGCTCCTTTGATCTGCTGCCGCTGCTCAGGAAGTAGAGGTTCGGGTCAATGTAGCTTTTCAGTTTTCGTTCCTCAGCTCTCTCGGTATTTCTGTGCCTCGAGTTTTTTACCGCCCATCTTCGAAGAGAAAGAACAGTTGCAGAGACGAGGAATATGCTCCCGATCACAATTCCTGCAAGCCCCCAAGAGTTTGGCAAGTTTGTTCGGTCTCTGATCTTGCATTGCAATCCGGTTATTCTTCCACACAAGCCTTTGTTCCCCGAAAACGAAATCTTTGTCAGATTCTTGCAAATGCCGCTGCTGGGCACATCCCCTTTGAACATGTTGTCCGAAAACCTCAGGAAATGCAGATTTGGCAAAGCACAAATCTTGTCTGGTATCTGTCCAGATAGCCTGTTCCGAGAAACGTCCAGGTACTCTAGCTGCATAAGATTGCCAAAATCGGAAG